ATTTAATTAATGTTTTCATTTTGTATAATAATGAGTTGATTTTGTTGTAAATTTGTTTTGAATGGCTAGCTCGATTGAGTTAAGTTTAAGTATTCAGCTAGAGTTTGTGTAGTCTGCAAGATGTACAGAACGATTTTACTTGTAATAGCATAGTCTTCTGTCAAATAGTATAGCTTTTAACTTCTTTAATCAGACTCTTCTGTCAAAGAGTTATCGTATGTGCTTCTAACGGATGGTAGGAAGTGTAATGGATTTACGATTATATTAATGTATATCTAATGCATTATGAAATTATTATACAAATATATGAGTTTTCTTCACTCCTTCTCAATATTACCTTTCGTTATTCTTTGGTCTGTTATTTCATATTGAATTATACTTGCATATTTTTTTAGAGAAATAATATATTAAAAAATATTCATAAATTCATATATCAACTTATCTATGCCCAGCCTCTTTAAGCAAATTCTCATACCTCAAGAATAGGAAACGTAAGATTTTTCTAACGTACTATTAATATGTTTATTATTTTTTAGAAAGTAGTAACATAAAATAAATTGTCGTTAATGAAAATCAATCTATACTCAGTCGTTGGATATATTAAATATTACATGTAAATATGTTTAATGTAGACCTCGTTTTAGGTGAATTTTCTATAAATTCAGTCACGTATTTACAAGTATACAATATAATAATGTGTCGTATATTATTTCCCGAGAGAGGAGCTCGAGGGCGCAAGCGGGAAGCGCGTTCGGCTGCGATCGTCGAAGTTGAGCAACTTTCGCAGTGGTCGGTCATCGGATGGGTGACCAAAAATTTGCTATCTCGCTCTTCCTTGCATCGGAAGGCACGTTAAGCCATCGGTCCCGGCTGCATCTGCAATCGTCAGCACTGGGCCCGCGTGGTGGGTCATGTCATGGCCCAATCTCCCTGTTCCATCCATAAGGAAGACCTGTGCCTCAGCAGGGGGGACAATAATAAGCTGGTGATGATGATATTATTTCCCCCGTCAGCTGTAGTATACTTATCCCTGAGCGCGGGCTCGTGGGCGGCGTACAGTCGCGCGGGGCTGGCGCGGGGCGGCGCCCACGCGCGGACCATGGCCATATGCGCCGTGCCTAAAGCCATGACCGCTGGTGAGGATCACTTATACTACAACCATGCTTTAAAACCGCTCTTAAAAATTCTAAAACAGCTTATTGCCACCATTAAAACATCCAACGACATAATTAAAAAACGGGTGTTATGATGTTGTAATACGTGCATGCTATAAAAAAAGAAAAACAGAAGAAGAATGTTGTACTAAACTTCATAATAACACTTTCGCTTTTAAATCCCTTCCTCGCCAAGGGCTCACTCGACTGACAGCCAGATTCTCATTGCTCGATGCGTGGTATTACGAATTTCAAAAAAACATGGTCTTTCACGCGTGTTTCACTACCGCAACGCCGAAACTTTCCATGAATTTTAGGTTCCTAAAAAGCCTCATACTTTTAGAATCTTTTATGGAAGATTCATACCATAGGTGTGAGATCGAAGTGTGCGAGGAGACAGTCATATCTAAATGCAACTGTTATGATTAGATATTAAAACATCTGATAATATTATTTCACGCCACGCACATTCGTGTTTTAATACCCCTCATGTATACAGTTCCATAAAGAACTATTTTAGGGTTATCCATAAAGAACTATTAAAGGTAACATCCTACTTATATTATAAATGTGTATCTTTGTATGTTTGTTACTCAATCAAGCGAAAACTATTGAATGGATTTGGATGAAATTAGGTACGCATTTAGTTTATGCTCTGGATTGGGACATAGGATACTTTTAATTCCAGAAAAATGTAATATTCCTGAGGGATTCCCAAAAAACTAAAGTTAACGCGGTTGAAGTCGCGGGCGAAAAAAATCCATGCGGTCTCCAGGCAACAGTAAATTTTCTTTCGATATAAACATCTAGCAACTACATGCTTAATAAAAATATAATAAACACAGTAACATGTTTCATCATCTTCGTCATCGTCGTTTACTTATTGATGCAGTTTATATGTGTAATAATTTTAATCATATTTTATTCATGCTAGTCCACTTTCGAACACCATTCACAACGCGAGTGTGCTCATCGCATAACCTGCGTCTTTTACATGACGTTCTGTTCACCACCTCGCATTCCACTAAACCTAACTCCGGGGAGTCATAATCCCTAAATTCAGCATCATGTCCGGTTTCGCTCAGTCATATTTCCGTTCTCTTCATTGCGTCCCAGTTACCGCCTCGTACATTGTTGACATTCGATGATCCTCCATATTATTATGTTGTATGGTTGTATCGGTAAGGCTGGGAGGTATCGACGGCGTGCGTGCCGGGCGGGCTGGCGCGACTGCCGGCCGTATTCATGGCGCCCGCGCAGGCACTCATAGTCGCCGCCATCGCTGACCACTGATGTTATATCAACATAATAAATATCTATTCTATTTGGGGGCTTCGATTACTCTAATTATTATCATAATCTTTCCATACTGTTTCATATTCTTATAAAATGATAATATATTTCAAGAAACCTTTATATGAGTATACGGAAAATGGCCACGTAAATTACATAAAAAGTAATTATTGTCAATTTGAACACGCAAATGAAACGTTTTTGTATCTTTATCTGGTGGTCAAACTTTTGTCATATTAATTTATAAAAAATGTTATTTTCTGTTGAATACACTACTGTTTTTCTGTTTAAAAATTGAATTTAATTGAAAGATTTAAAAATTACAATGTTTACCGAAGCCTAGTGTAATATTAATTTACCTAATGTATTCTCGTTATTCATATTGGGAATAGGTATATGAAAAATTATACTTATTCTACTTTTATTGTTATTTGATTTTTGTATGAAGTTGCATCAAAATGTTTGTATTTATTAAATAATGCTCAGAACATTACATGCTTCCTGTATATTTTAATTTGCAGTAGTAGTTTTAAGGTATAACTTTTTTAATATATGATATTAGATGATTTGGTGTGAAGATGATAGATAGATATTGGGTATACCAATTTGTTATCTCCACAATTTATTGATAAGATTTACTAGATATCATTTCGATTTGTCCGAAGAACAAAGTCCGATGTGCAACGTTGTTAGTTTTCAGTGGAGACTCAAGAAATTTTTGATTTTTGTAATTCTTAAACTGTAAAACTTAACATTACGAATTTTTGGTATGTTTTATAACGCTCCTGCCTTACCAAGGAAAACACCTGATAACAGAAAGTATGGTTTTCGTCAAAATAGACAAAAGCTGAGCGGTCGATCTGACAAACGGACGGGGCGCCACCCAAATTACACGCGCGCCGTCGCTTGTACACTTCTTGTATTTTAATGCGGAGTAAATGCCACATAGAACGTTATTCGATTCTATATTTTCGAAACTAAATAAGATAAGAAAATTTTAAAAACCTGAAATCTACCTGTACAATTTGAATTTCTTATCCCATCAAGCTATTTTACCTGTTTTTGATTTATCACATCGGACTGTTCTAAAGGACAAGTCGATTTACTATGTTTAATAATGTAAGCTTATTTATATACCCACATCAATCTTAATGAGCCATTTTAATTATTATTTAACGAATAAGGTATGACATCTGTAGAGTACATTTTTTTATAATATAAAATGTTTTATAACGTGCCTACTCAAAGTCACGTAGGTACTATAATTTAGACAATATTTTCTTGTTATTTAAACTAGACTACTAGAAAAAATGAACGTGTGATTTGAAATTGAAGTGGCCTTAAACCAAGGATGGGCAAACTACGGCCTGAGGGTCATCTCCTGCCCTCTAATGGTGGGATACCAGCCTGTGGCCATCAAACGAAAATCAAAGGCAAATTCCACCAACTACCCATGAGTCCACCCCAAAACAGTGCCATGTATTTAAGCACTTCGCTGCCAAACCTTTTTGATTTTTTAAATATTTATTATTAGTTCTATTGCTTGAATCATAAATAGTTTTTGAAATCCCCACCAATTACTTTTATTACACTAAAGAAGCAGACAAAAAATTAAAAAAGCCTGGTCCGCCACGAATTTTCATAGTCAATATTGTCACGCTAAGAAAAAAGTTTGCCCATCCCTGTCTTAAACTAAGTATGTATTAAGATCCGATTTGAGCTCAGTGTCGATGAAAATAAGGTCCAAGTTAGCTAATTGTTTTGTAGTCTGTAACTTTTAGACTCGGGATCAATAAATTGTGATCAATATAATATGTCCATGTGATCATTGTAGAGATGAATGAACGCTAAAATTGAATGAATGACTGAATGACTAGTCTAATTAGGTCCACGGTTGTTTCACCATTCACTAGCAAGTGTTGCATAGTGAATTCGTAAAAGTTCAATTGTAGACTATTCGTACTAATTAAATGACAAATTAATTTGATTTGTTATGTTTCGATACCGTGATGTCAAACTGAGAAAATAAGTCATTTTGAAGTGTCCTGTCTTATGAGAAACGATTGTTAAACTCTTAACTTTCCCTGATAACTTCATTTGAGTCTTCACTGTACAAAAAAAATAGTTTGCCACTAAATATATTGAATCAATATGCACTATTAATCTTAACTTTGTTGAATTACCTAAAATAAATAATTATCTGTTGACAATATTAATTATTGCTCAAAAGTAATTTTTAGTAAAAATTGCTGTAAATTGGTTTTGCACAATATTTGAAAATTTGTGTCTCAACTCAATATTATAAATTAAAAGCGAGTTCTCCAGTTACTAGCAATATTAAAGAGTAGTTGAAAACTGCCATTTAATTATAAATTGAAAGTACTAAGTTCTTTTTAACATTGATACAAAACTGATGTAACTTTCAGCTCAGCACACTAGAACTTTTAAAATAATTTTCATAGATTATTTTGTACTAATATCTGTTAATAGTAAGTTGTTTCAATGTAATTTTATTATGTAAATAGTTCAATTTATTAAATAAAACTTCCTGAATCATAGTAAATGGATTTTTATTTGAAAATCTTTAATAATATCACAATTCGGATTTTTCAATACAAAATTATTTGCATTTTATTTTTGTTTGTTAAATTCAAGCAATTTTTTTAAATAAAATTAAATCTTAATTCTACCATTTATGAGCTTAAATAAGTATCTAAATCTAATCACAGTCATAGAACAATAATTTTATCTTAGTGACAACTTAAAATCGAGAAATTAATATAATAGGTACTTAATACTTACAGTAATTCTATTTGGTTCTGAGTAAATACAAATCTATAAAATTGTACTAAGCCATCTATAATTATCACAACACTAATAATATTTAAGTAAGTAAAAGCGATAACACTAAGTAGGATTAAAATAAAAGAAAATAGAAAAAAAAATGAATTTCAGAACCACGTCTTCTTAGGCTTCTTTATTTATGACAAATTGTGTTGAATATAATTATTTTTAAATTTTTATGAATTCAACGGTGGCTTAATTTATTAAGACGCAGAAAATATTAACAAACAATTAAACGTGATTGATTGAGTCATGAGGTTAAAATCAGTTATCAGTATAAAAGTACACCGCACCGAAGGTTCCGTACAAACCTGTAGGTATATAATAATTGTTAAAAAAATATGTGATGTAACTAAAATTTACTTATTTATGTATTTATTTAAATAATTAAATTAATTTCCGTTATTTTCCTTTCGAGTTACGGAATCCTAAAAATGAACAATTAAAGTATATAATTTTGATTTTTAAGCATGTTATTGCTTGATGTTTAAATCTTAAGAAAATATAACTAAAAAAAATTACACGCGAACCAGGCAGCAGACGGGACTCGAATCCGCACCCTCCGCTATCCGGGCACTGACCAATTGACATTGTGTCAGTGCAGCGGTAGCATTACTGGTCAGTTCATTCGCCCGGATAGCTAAGGGTGCGGGTTCGAGTCCGGTCTGCTGCCATGTCCGCGTGGATTCTTTTCTAGTTATATTTTCTTTAGAATTAAAGTATGTTTTTTATAAAATCCTTACGTTTTGAAGTCATTTAAATAACATATCTTAGAGCTTTTTGTTGGTTTTAAAATTATTATTAATATTTTAAATTAAAACACATGACTTCCAATTCTATTTTAATTAACTATTTTGCTTTTAGAAATAACAGATGTAAGCAGAGATTGATGAATCATTTATAATTAAAATGAAGCACGATACTTTTTACTGCCTGTCTGTTAATAACAAGAATTAGGTGCTTGTTCAATGTCTATCAGATGAGTGACTTATCTGACTTCAACTGTAATACCCTTAAATATAATTAATTTCGTTTGTTGACATTTTTATTGTTATGTCAAAATAGCGATTTTGTTAAGTCAATTATTTTGAAAACAAAAGCGATACTGGTGATTATCATTTACAAAGTATTTGTGGGTAAGTTAAAGGTGTTGAAGTTATATAATTAGAGCTCTAAATTAACTTATTGTAAAAAAAAAAACAAAAAGTACCTACTAGCACAAACAACATTTGATTGGACAAAGTGATAAATATTTATGTTATATCAAAGTTAGGGCAACCTAATCTCAAATAAAGTACTAATGAAATTACAAAGAGTTTGTCGTTGTGAAATACAGTTGTGCTTTTCAGATATTTTTTTCTTAAAGTAAATTAAAATAATTAATAATGTTATGAGCGTTAATGAACACAATAAATTATAGCTCTCTCTAGCATGAATGAGTGTCTAAACACTGTACCTAAGTACACTCACTAACACCTGACACACATCTCAAACAGATACACAAAACCATTATAAAACATAATATAGGTACAAATACATATTATTTAAAAAAAGTCTTGATTTTATTTTAACGTTTTGTTATAAAAACGACTACTATAATACTAAAATCTCTTATAAACTATAGTGTAGTTCAGCTACAAGTTTAATAGTTTTACATCTAAAGTGTAGTTAACTACATATATTTCCGGATACATCTGACGGCCCACATTATAACCGGGTATTTAATGTTTCGGTGGTTCCTAGCTAAAAATAAATGTTACATTGAGCAAAAAGTTATTTATACGCAGTTTTGAAGCTCAATTTAAAATTATGAATTTTAATTATTTGAATGCACTTTAAGAAATGAATGAAGAATGAACTCAATTTTAATTATTTTAAAAATATTGCTGAACCATAAATATGTATTTTCGCTACAGACCGTTGAAACTTATACACTAATTGGGTCGAGAGATGTGTCCGGACGTATAGTTATAGATGAGATAAATTAACTAATATTATGTTAATATGTAGAACTATGTCGCCTCAGCGGGAGCTTGCTGTTTGAGTAGTTCCCAATAAAGACCCCGTTTTCGAACTAATTCATCGTGAGAACCGAGTTCTGCTACCACTCCTGTGAATTTAAATAAGTAAAACGTTAATACATTTATAGGTACAAAACTTCAAGTAAAAATTGAATTGAACGCAAAAGTCAATTTATTCGTATTCATCTCAACAAAAAAACATATTGGATTTTAAATTACATCGTTTATTTGTCATCCAACAAAATAAAAATGTGTTTGCAAAATTTCATTTAAATCGGTTGGATATAATTGTCTGCTTTAAAATTAAGTTATGAGATTTGACATGAACATACGTAAATTACAATTTAAATTAAATAAAAAAAATAGTGTGTGTCATTATTACAAGTATTAACAAGTTCTTGTTAAAATATAGTGTCATGCTCTGTATTATTAAAGGGTAATTATGTTACCTTAAAAAGTACTAGAGTTTTAGGAACAATTATATTTCGAAATAAACCGGAATATGAAGATCAGTGCCCTTAGCAGGAACCATTTATCGAATTGGAATACTTGAATTCAATCTACAGTCCGACCCAAGGTCTTCATGAATGTGACTGACAGTTCAGGGAGGGCGCCACCATCTACGTAAATGACATACAAAATATGACGTTTAAAAAGAAGGCGGCGTCAGTTCCAATTTTCGCCACATTCAAAATGATCTTGATCGCACTTTAGATATACGTCAAATGTGTACTGATTTTTGGTTCGCGTTATGCAATGTCAAATTTAGCATAATAACTTGAACAGCAGTGCCACAACGGAGGCAACTAGAACTAAAAATCAGTACACATTTGACGTATATCTAGATCGAATGCAACTATTCGAATTCGATAATGGTTCCTGCTAAGGGTACCGGTCTAATTTTAAACAAAAAATAATGATTACCTTGATGTATGACGGCTATTTGGTCGGCATGCCGGACGGTGGCGAGTCTGTGCGCTATAATAATTGTGGTGCGATCTGCTGCTGCCGCTTCTAAAGCTGCTTGTACTACCTGTTACAATCGAAATAAATAATTTATATGTGACGGTGTTAAAAAAAAAACATTTTTTAAGAAACAAATCCGTTCTGCTTATTAAATAAACTAAAAAAAAAAATAATTTAAGTCTGATAAGAAATATTCCATTTTACAGGTACATTGGTGTCGATTCACAAAATTAAAACTAAATTTAACATCAGTCTCTCCTTTTCATTGTTTATAGAGAATGACAAGGATGCACTGTTGTCAAATTTCATTTAAGAATTAAAGAATCATGCTATTAACGACATCAGTATCACAATTTTTAATAATAAAAGTCTAGTAGATGTTATGATTATCAATATAGTATGTATTTATGTGTGTTTATATCTACCTTCTCGCTGTTAGCATCTAGGGCAGAAGTCGGTTCGTCTAGCAGCAATATCCTGGGATGTCTTAGTAAAGCTCGAGCGATGGCTACTCTTTGTTTCTGACCTCCAGACAGCGATGCCCCTCCACCGCCTAAGACTGTGTCGTAACCCTAAAAGAAAATAAATTAAATTAATAAATATTTCCAACAGATACCAGTTCATCTAACTCCTATATAGGTGCATTTGCAGAAATTTTGCCAAATCTCAAGTTAACTAAAACTAGCTTTTGCCTATAGGAAAATGTCAAAACGCCGACTGATATTTTTAGACTTAAATTTAGAGAATCATGCCAGAATTGACACCAATGTCAATTTCACATTATTGTATAGGCATATATTCACATTATCAATAAAATATAATTCACTCGTTCATCTAAAGAAAAAAAGCCTTGCAGCCTAAGGCTAGAGAAAATTCGACACGACCATCAGGGCTGTGGTAGCATAATGGTCAGTGCATTCGCCCAGATAGCGAAGGCTGCGGGTTCGAGTCCCGTCCGCTGCCTGGCCCGCGTGGAATTTTTTCTAGTATTTTTTTCTTTAGATTTAAACCTGTAGCAGTTAAATGCCCACAAAATGTAAAAATATCACTCGTTCATTTTTATTTACTTATATCACTTACCAAAGGCAGTCCCGCGATGAAAGTATGCACGTTAGCCTTAGTGGCGGCATCTATGATCTCCTCGAGGGGGACGTCCCTAGTGTTGTCCCCGTACGCGATGTTGTCCCGGATGCTGCGCGAGAACAGGGACGGCTCTTGTTGCACGAGCCCTAGTTGGGATCGAAGCTGGGACAACGTGAGGGAACGCTTTATGTCACGACCGTCTATACGCTGCAGGGGGAAAAACAACATTTATTATTATTTTTTATTTCGGAAAACAAACAGCTGTACATACAAAAAAATTTGGATAGGAAATGAATAAATAATTCAAAGGTAGCTCGACAAAATTAAATAAAAAATCATTATTCTGACGATGCAGACCTGAAAAGGCTGCGAAACGTCAATAAAAAAATAAAGTTTCGTGCATTAACCCGTTAAAACTAGTTTTATTTAATGAGTGATGTGCGTGAAAACCTAAGAAACAAATGTAACAAATGAAGTTGAAATAACGTAAGTAATTATACAACCGACAACGTTATCCTTCAATTATTAAAAATACATCTAAAGAAAAGAATAATATGTTAACCATTTGGCCAATCGAGCTCCTCACAAATCTATGTATTGAACACAATTTATGTTTATTTTCAAATAAACGAATAATAACTCACAATAGTCCCACTGATCGGGTCATATCCCCGCTGCAGTAGTTGTACTAGCGTAGACTTGCCGCACCCACTAGGCCCCACCAGAGCTAATGTCTTGCCGGCCCGCAGTTGGAGGTTGATGGACTTCAGCACTGGGACTGTGGGCCGGGTCGGGTAACGGAACTCTATCGCGGAGAATTCTAGGTTTCCTTGGGCAGTCTGTAAACGATAACCTTACATTAGGCGGTGCATAAGGTATAGGGAAATGAAGCAGCGCACGCATATATATATATACTAGCAAACCAGTGAACCAAATGTTCACCAAAAAAAAAAAATTATTTAATTAATTCAGAACTTCGGAGATTTTGTGTGGTTTCGTTTGAAATAGAAATCACGTGATTTCTCGAAAACCGGAAGTGCTACGTTACTCACATCCGGTTTGTAGTCTTATCAGACTATTCTTAACTTATAACTTAAACATTCTCTATATCTATCTCTTACGGTTTGGCCGCTGAAACAGCACCACGGATGGACGGACGGACTTGTCTATTAGATAAGAGATATATTAAAGCATGTGACGCTCGTAGCGTTTCAGCCTTCGCCGAGTTACCCTCTAACTTTCATGCTCGTCGGGAAGAGCTGCGCACGCATCCGGCACACACACACTTTTATATATATTTATATAGTCGTGTTACGCTAGTGAGGCATTTCCGTTTCATCTTTTTCATATTTTTTTTTTCTATTCACACCCCATTTAAAAAGAAGTTTCACTTCAATAAGTATCTGCAGTTTTATCACAGAGTCACTTTAATTTAGACGAAATAAATTACGCATCCTCGGGCGAGCCGGAGGTTTTCCTGTTCAGCTTTCGCGTGTCTGTTTATGAAGTGAGTATCAATCTGTAATTGCTTACCCATCCCGGTTCCTCTTTCGCAGAATTCTCAGTAACGACGCTGGGTTGAGTGTCTAAAGCGCGTATAATTCTTGCTCCGGATCGTTTGGCAGCCGCGAAGTTCGGCGCGAACGATAAAGCCTCTGCTAACATCCACGCGCCGTAGATGAGTGCCTCCGCCACTCTGGATAATAAAATATTTATTGAGTACATAAATAAACTATTCTAAGTCTTCAAATATCTGATATCTTTGACGCTATATTACATTACATCAGAAGAAAATTTTACTAGAAAAATATCCACGCGGCCCAGGCAGTACACGGCACCTATCTTTAGATTTAAACATCTAGTAGTTAAATGCTTAAAAAATAAAAATATAGATATATTACATTATAGTCAACACTGTTTCAAGCGCCATCACTACTCCGTGATCATGGCGCTTGGAATAGTGCCGAAACGGTAACTCGCTAAAACAATATATAATAACATGGAAGCAATCCCGTAAATAACATACATAAAAAATAAATATTTCAACACTCACACCAATTAGCCTAGCCCAAAAGTAAGCACTGTAGGCTTGTGTTATGGGATACTAGAGTAACGGATAGAATACATAAACTGATACTTATAATATTAGCATATTTATATAGAAATACATATTAAACATCCATTACTGGAGAACATATGCTCGTATTGATCACACAAACATCTGCCCCCACCGGGATTCGAACCCGGGACCTCTTGAGTAGACGATACCTCAAAACCCGGCGTACAAACCACTCGGCCACGGAGGTCGTCATAATCATCATAAATTACTATGATGTTAGTGATCATGAAAGTTTAAGACGATATTTAAGATTTCAATGTGTGTAATTCACGTGCTAGAGAAATGACATATTTTTTAAATTTCTTATTGTTTCATGTCATGTTAAGCTCTAAAATCCACAAAAAATATTGAAACGGTTGGTTGATATTTGTTTTCGAAACATTTTTTTGGTAATGATATGAGTGGCGTAATTATGATCAATGTAATATTGGGTAAGGCAACTATGGGCAGTGAAATATTGGGTAGATTGACTATAGGTTTAATGGATAGTGTAAAAAATATAAAATTACTATAAATGATGATGTTATTAGTAGAATAGTTATGCATAAAGGTACTTAGTGCTATTAAGAACAATGTAATATTGTGAAAAACTGTGGTGTTTCCATTAAAAACTGATAGTGGCCAATGTAATGTATGTAGGTAGCTGAAATATACAATAATACGTACGTTATATAAGTATTCGAGTGTATCATAATGAATAGGGTAAGTATGGAAGGTATAATATTTTGCAACTTAATCATGTAATCCTACTAATATTATAAATGTGAAAGTTTGTAAATTTGTGTATTTGTATGTTTATATTCAATCACCTAAAAACTTCTGAAAGACTTGGATAAAATTTGGTACGGATATACTTTATGACCTGGATTGAGACATAGGATACATTTAATTTCAAATAATAGTTAGGCTCCTGAGGGATTAAAAAAAATAATGTGGACAAAGTCGCGGGCGATAGCTAGTAATAGAAAAAATTACCATCAGAAAAAAAGGGTAGGTAAATAATAGGTATAGTAAATATGAAAAGCGAAAAACAGATTAATTGCAGTAATTTTGGGTAATGTAATTACTGATGGAGTAGATAAGGATAATTTAATTTTAATTAACTATGGTCAATGTAAGTTTGGATAAGTAGTCTTATTATGGGTAGTGTAATTTTAAGCAATATAAAGATGTAAACTTTAATAAGACATTAAAGTATACTCACAGAACAGCAGAAGCGTAAGGCAGATCCTCCCTAGCGATCAAATATCCCCCGTAAGCCAGAGACACGGCGTATCCTAGAGTAGGCGCGCATAGACAAAGACCGTAGACTGGCCCGCGGACACACGCGGTGAGACTGCATGTTTCCGATGATTGTAGGGATGATGTATAGCGGTCTAGCACTGTTTGTTCCACACCTGATGACAAATAAACAAGGGAATCTTTATATAGTTGTGTTAAAAAGCAGGTTTAACAGATAAATGCTGTTAAAACCAATGAAGTATACATATTTATTAGGTACATTTTTATTTTAAGTATGTTATCTGCTAGATTTTTAAATCTTAAGAAAAAATTACTAAAAATAAAACAGGGACTCGAACCCGTACCCTCCGCTATCCGGGTATTATAAAGTTGTTGGTTTTCCTAAATATAACAAAAATAATAATAATAACCAAATTTTTTTCATAAGTTCAGTCTTGCGTCTGATGTTTTCGTTTTTTATTGTAGATGAAAAGAGTTGATAAATCGCGCTTTATACCTTCTCAAAAAGTGTTTTATTAAATATAATTTAATTTATCTACTTACCCAGAGTCTGTACGGTCCGTAGATTGAGCACAGCTTCAGTAGCTAACCTGGAAGCTTTTTCTAAAGACTTCCGTTCGGATTGTTCGGCGCGACGAGAAACCCACGATTCTAGCCAGATGCCGCCCATTACCTGATCAACATTGTTATATTAAGCATCATTAGATTCAACAATACCATTATAATTATATTCATAATTATCATTATCATCATCATATTCACCTGAATCAATATCCTACTATTGGTCTGTCTGTCAGAGTCACCCCATTCCTATTCTGTTCTATATCTAAATTAGCCATATTCATAATGAAACATGGAAATTTAAGCAAAAGTGTGGGTTAACTTTTGTTATTGCTGGAAAAGTTCGTTCGCTTAGTCCATTTTAAAGTGAGAATTTAATTTAATTATAAATGTTTTCGATCAAGTTTAGCATGTTGTATTACATTTTTAATTGTAATTAACAATTCTGATCTCATCAACAAGTATTAGCGGTTCTGTGGTAGAGTCAATTCCCAGCCGAGGATAGGATTTGTTTTTAATTTTTCACTTTTTGTAAGCCAGAGTGATGCAAACTCAAAGCCGAACTTTTCGTTGATGATGATGATATATAGCATGGTCCAGTATATGATACTTACACAAGGCACACTGAGTAGACTGACGAGAGTCATCTTCCACGAGTAGAACATGGCGAGAGTCACGCCGATACTCATCGTACTGACACCCTGCAGTATGGCGCCCAAACGACTGCCTACGATGAAGAGTAGAAAAAGTATTATTTTAATAATTTAATTGAAACTCAAATACAGTTGGTTTTTCCCACTTTAATAAAATATAATTATTTTAATATGTAAATATACCTGTAGCTCCTTGTACAGCGGCACAATCTGAAGAGAGTCGAGCACATAAAGCACCCACGGAATTGGCAGAGGAGTCGAACCATGCTTGATCCTACAAAAAATATATACAAATCTCATTAAATATAAATTTATTGTAAAATAACGTAATAATACAGAAACTAGTTTAGTTGAGATAAGCATTTATTTTCAATTTGATTATGGTGATTATAAAATACAGATAAAAGTTAAGATTTATGACAATGGTGCCTATGAGTGAAGCGAATATTAATGTTTAGTAAAATTCTTGCTAGCGACTATAATGTCATCTACGTCGATTAAGAATCAGTTATGTAACAGTTTTCCTACTACTTCTATTGAAGCTTACATTCAAAAATAAGAAAATATCGAATGAAATCTTAACAGACAAGTCGTTGCTATTCATTGAATTATGTTAGGATATCCTAAGCAAATGGTAGAGGAAACATTTAAAAAGTGTGTTTTTTCCCCATTATTTAGTGCACCCTATACAACAATGTTAAGTCATCGATGATTTATTAATTGTTTCGTACAATGATAAAATGATTAATCATTATAAAATCATCATTAGTTTTAAGTTTAATTTCCTCACCTGTCCCAAATAGTTTCCTAAGCACATCTTTTTCATCTATGTGTTAACGTAATTCCTACCTTAGCGTTTGTGTTAACGTGATGTGTGGCTGATTAATAATTATATTCTGTATAGAAATGAAGTGTTGATTGAAGATTTGCTCACCTGTCTCAAATAGTTTCCGAAGCACATTTTCCTCAGTCTATCGGTTAGTTTAATCCCGGCCTTGGCGAACAACCACGCTTGTAGGAAAGTTACGGCGCCGCAAGCAGCCGCGGCCAACAGGAAATATCCCGCGTACTTCAACGATTCCGAGAGGATTAACTGTCTGTCTGACCACGAGAACATCTGGATAAACGATAAAATACTTATGTCATTTGAAAATTTAAAATGAAAATTCTTTTATCCTACTAATATGATAAATGTGAAAGTTTGTACGGACTAGGACCGTCTGCTGCCTGGTCCGCGTAGATTTTTTTCTAGTTGTATGGCCCAACATCCCTATTCTATCCATAGGGAAGGCCTGTGCCCCAGCAGCTGGAACATTAATAGACTGATGATGATGATGAATGTGCTAGTAAGAGATTACTCACCCCATATAACTTGGACAATAGTAAAGCGAAAGTCGGCATTGTAGCTCCAACCAACAACGAAGCCAGAGCTCCTCCGACCAATAGTTTCCATTCAGGTGCATTTAATTTCAACAATTGCCACGTGGAAACGTCGGGGACTTCGTCAACCTCATCCTCGGGTTCGATTCCCGTCTGTTGTATGATGTCGGGTACAGGAAGATTGGAAGATATGGATCCCATGCGTTTGCTAGCTCGGATCATGGACTCTGAAACATAGAAAATGGTTTTCAAAATTATTGGCATTCTATAATATATGATTAAAGCTATTGAGTGATGTATTTCTGTTGAATTTCATCTTACTTTTGTGTACTTTATGGTGTTATACAACAAAAAAATCCTGGGAAATTAGAATTATTATTATTACTTTTTTGTTTAATATAGATACTTTTTATAATTACACTTGAGAAATTTGCAGTTCTCAGTTCCTGATTCACTCTAATAAACAAACATTTAAGCTAATTGTTACATTGAACTTTAGAATATTAGTTTTGAATGCACACAGGCAATTTATTTATTTATATTAGAATAGTAATTTACTAAGCAAAACTCACCTCTATGTGTGGAGAGTCGTTGCACGGAAGCCCTTCTAAATGTCTCTTTAGGTATTTCTTCGACATCGTCCAATTCGTCTTCCGCACTCAAAGCTGCCATCGCACTCTTATGAGTCATATCGTCTTGCACCAATTTCCAATATAACCCTTTCTTTTCAAGTAGTTCCATATGGGTTCCCTCCTCTAGTACGGCCCCCTGTTCCATGTAAACTATTCGCGTAGCATTCACTATTGTGGAAAGACGATGGGATACCACTAAAGTGGTGCGGCCTTTGCTAGCCGCGTCTAAAGCTGCTTGCACCTAAAATTTAAATATGTTTCATTTTTATATTGACGATAATCCCATAACTGTTACAATAATATAAATATAATAAATCTTAACAAAAATGTAAACCAATACTAACCAGTCTCTCAGCAGCGGGGTCCAGCGCAGATGTGGGTTCATCTAACAGTAGAATGCTGGGGTTCCTTAGCAAAGCCCTCGCTATAGCAACCCTCTGCTTTTGGCCCCCCGATAGAGAGGTTCCGTTGCTGCCCAACATCGTGTCGTAACCCTGGATTAAAAGATCTAATTGGTTCATCGTGTTTTGTTAAATAATCATTGGTTAGTTGAGAAAGAAATTCTTTGGAGTTGTAAACTATAATATTTGTTTTCGATAATAGCTCGACTGATTTTGATGCTATAGGAACATTTATTTGTTATTCAGATGATTTCTAAAATTATGATGGTATTTTCATTTTTTAAAGTAAGCCAATTTAATTAAATCCAAGAATTTCTCTAATATCGAAGGACAACCAGATTAAGGAAGTAGATATATTTAATTAAGAAAAATACATTGGACAAAGCGTCTGACGACGTAGCCTGTAAAGGCTATGACACGTCAATAAATAAATAAAGTTTCGTGCATTAACTCGTAAAAACTAGTTTTATTTAATGAGTGATGTGCGTGAAAACCTAAGAAACAAATCTTTACGTTTGTTTGCTTTAAAGAGATTCTCTCACTTAAAGCGCAATAGTTAAAATCATCTACAATACAACAAAATTTCCCCACGATAATAGTAATAAAACGTACCTTAGCCAGTTTGGTGATGAAAGAGTGCGCGTTGGCAGTTTTGGCAGCAGCTATGATCTCCGCGTCGGAAGCTTCAGCACCAAAAGCAATATTCTCACGTATTGTGCCCGAAAACAATACTGGCTCCTGGCCCACTACGCCTGAGAAACGATAGGAGAAATCGTATTATTAAAACAATTTAATAAACAATAGAAATTATACTATTATGTTACAATTTTCAAAATAAATACATATTAGAGAAAATTTTAAATAGCCGTCGGTGGTGTAGCTTAATGGCTAGTATAAATTTGCTTGGATAGCAAAAGCTTTGATTCTATTTGCGTCGAGTTTTATTGCTTATAGTAAAGAAACCTTTTATGAAAACTATGCAATTGTGAAGCCTATATCGAAGATATATTATATATGATGATGATGATTATGTTATATTCTGAAAGGTACGGTAAGCCGTCGGTCCTAGCTGTATCTGTCTGTAGTCATTAATACACACTAATCCACACTGGAACATTTTAGTATGTCATGGCCTGTTTTTTATGTTCCATCCATAGGGAGGGCCTGGAGACATCTTTCAATACAAAATTTGCAGTATACGACTGGGAAGTGGGGACATTAAATCTGATAATGATAATAATTCCCTCTCGCCCTCCACGTAAACTTTTCCGGAGTCGGGGTCTTGTTGGAATTACATATTTCAGAACACATGATTAATAAGTGGGGACATTCATAAGTAAGTTATGGCCCACTCTTCCTGCTAAAAGTGCTAAAGTTTAAATATTAACAGACAAATAATGACGAAATTCTCACCGATACTAGTCCTGAAGTGGTGCAGATGCAAGTTCAGCAACTGATGTCCATCGACGTAAACTTGTCCGGAGTCGGGGTCGTACAGTCGTTGTAATAGCTGCAGTAATGTTGATTTCCCACAACCAGAGCCTCCTACTAAAGCTACCGTTTCACCGGCGCGAACGCGTAGTGTTAGACCGCGGAGAACCTGATTAAAAAAATAAAATATCGTAATGATCGGACTCCTTACTATAGAAGGAAACAAGTGCTTTAAAAATATAATAATGAATAAAAGAACATCTATATACAAATATACTTTAAAATACTTTAATGCTTACAGATAATGTTAGGGACTAGATTATTTGAATTGAAAACATCAAAAATTACAAATAACATGACACAATTATTTAACGTTATATGAAAGTCTAAACAAAGAGCAACTGATTATACACAGGCGATTTAGTACTATGGTAGTTTGTTGGATTGAACCATTAATTCTAAATTTATTAATTTAATGAAGACTAAAAAAATATGTTCAATATGCCAAAATGTATTAATATACAGAACCTTGGGGAGATTTCAATTAATGTAAACTTCATCTATATTTTCTCAGTGTTCCTCAAGGCACTGCATCTGGCCCACATCTTTTCATAAAATGCGAGGAATGATCAATAAATTAATAAGCACTTATAGCACTGCCTAATACACATTACACTTCAAGTAAAAATGTTCATTGAAACGGTAAAATGATATTTTCGTATGTTTTTTAACTTATATTTATCTAAAACTCATATCATGAATTTCTTTATAAATATTGACTAAAACAATGTGAATAACTAAATTTGTGGCTTCTAAGAGGAATAAATTATAATTAGTGTTTAATGTTACTAACATATTAAATCTGTGTTATCTGAATCCAATGAATTATCATAATTTGAAAATTACCTTGACGTCAGGCCGCGACGGATAATTGAAGTACAAGTTGTCGAACACGATGTCACCCTTAAACTTCTCAGGTTTGAGTCCGGTCTGTTCTAAAGCGTTGATCTTAGACTTTCTTTCTAACAGTTTGAAGAGAGACTTGGCAGCGCCGCGAGCGGTAGAAAATGTCTCTAAATGAGGTTGACACATCGCTATGTTCTGAGCTGCCATGAATGTGCAGAACAGGATCTAAAAATGGATAAAAATCAGATTAGCTGCAAATTAAAATGTGTTTTAAGTAGCATAAGTTTAAAAAAAATTGGTACGAGTATTCCTCAAGGTTCTTAATTTGGACCGCAATTGTTCATGATTTGAACATTTTAATAAGGTAATTACAAGATTTTTAATAAAAGACAACGATAAGCTAAGTATCTTCTTTACTGAGTATAAGGTCGAGATGGTAAATGTTATCAAAAAAATATTGTTATACTTCCAATTCGACTTTAAATAGATATCTTTTTATTGTTGTTGTATGATTTGTATTTTGCAATTTTGTGTTTTTAACGATTTATAATTTCATTATTATAATCCATTGTGACATTAAATGTGTGTTAAATATAACAATTAGTGTTTAAATTTAAAGAAAATCCCACGCGGGCCAGGTAGCAGACGGGTTTCAAATCCGCATCTTCCGCTATCCGGGCGGACCATTGTGCTACCGTTGCCCTAATAGCCATGTCGATTTTTTAGTTTAGTATTTCTAATGCTTTAAGGTAGCGCCATCTCTTCACATTGTGAGGAACATACATTAAGCTTTAAATTTAAATATCTGGCAGAACAAAAAATAGTGAAGTATGGTCAATGTGAAGCGATAAAATATGTATACAAAGTCAACGAAAGGTTCAAAAAACAAAAACAATTCGTTAACACCATGAGTGGTATCGGAAAGACACGAAACGAAATTAAAAATATATGTCATATTATTATTATTACTTTTACTGTAAAATTGGCGCCCGAAAGTTGACGAACCGAGCGGCTCGGCGATGATATGACATGACAGAACGAGACCTAACGTCATATATATATGTGTATATGAGACTAGCCGACCCGGCGAACTTCGCGTTGCTATAAAAATAGGGACCGGTGGTAGAAAAGTGAAAATTTAGGATGGTATGTATTTTTTAATGCCACAAAAGAAAACGTTAAGGGTGGACAACGCTCACCATTAAGGGGTATGAAAAATAGATAGGATTCTCAAACCTACCGTATATGCATATAAAATTTAATAAAAATCGGTCGAGCCGTTTCGGAGGAGTATGGTACTAATATTGCGATACGAGAATTTTATATATAAGATTCAGTCTCGCATGGGGGTGAACGAACTTTTTTATCGCTTCTCGTCGGCCCTACTTTAGTAACTAGGTTTGTGACTAAAAATAAGTAAGTAAAAGCCACTGACGGTGAGCATAATCCCCGGGTGATAGTACTGCATCTCGGGCGGCAGGTCCATGTCGCGCACGCAGAGCGCGGCGCCGTACGCGAACACGACCGCGTTGAGCGCGTACGTGAGCAGCCACCCCGCGCCCGACCCCGCGCCCGCCCACCACCCGCGGCGACCCGCCGCTATACTCGCCGACCGCAGGGACCACTCGTATCTGATGGGACAACGATAGAAGCCTCAGGATTAAGAGAACCTATAAGTATCCGACGCCCCGAACAGAACGAGTAATAGGAATCAAGATAATTGTAAAAGATGAAAGAAGAAGAAAGATGTGCAAAAGAAAAAGCGCAAATAAACAAGCAAAAGAGCAGGCATGAATAAAAACAATATAATAGTAACAAACAAAAAACAAAAGAAAGAAAAAGACCTGATACAAATTGGGGATAACCGCTAAAAAAAAAAAAAAAAAAAAAAAAACAGAACGAGGCGAAGCAACACTGACAACCGAAAGCCTCCGAGTATTAGACACATCATCATCATCATCATCGGCCTATTAATGTCCCCACTGCTGGGGCGCAGGCCTTCCCTATGGATGGAATAGGGAGATTGAGCCATGACCCACCACGCGGACCCAGTGCGGATTGGTGGGTGCTAACGACTGCAGATGCAGCCGGGACCGATGGCTTAACGTGCCTTCCGAAGCACGGAGGAGCTCGAGATATTAATTTTTGGTCACCCATCCAATGACCGACCACTGCGAAAGTTGCTTAACTTCGACGATCGCAGCCGAACGCGCTGACCACTTGGGCCATCGAGCTCCTCGTATTAGACACGTTCAGTACTAATTCAGTACGCACGTGGGTAACTACCCTACGCCCGCCCAACGACCACGATGACCCGCCGCTGTACTAGCGTCGCCGAGGGACCATTCGTATCTACGCCAAAACGATACAACGTTTACAGTTCACAAGTATCTAATATAATGCATCCAGGGACCCAATGACATATCACTGAGAACTGCAACGAATCTAGACACGCTCAAAAACCCATCGATATAACAATCAAAAGTATTAATTAACGTATTACCGCCCCGGATTTAATTATTTTGGCTACAGCGTTATCTGTTGATAATTGCTTGACACATTTAGTACCTATATTTTTATAGACCAACTGAAGCATCAGTTATAATGCAAATCAGTCCTCATTAAAGATATTGTTAACTGCGGCATCTCTGAGATAGTGAGATGAGATGGATATATTAAAAAAAATATGTTTTGTTGACTAATACGTATAACGTCACAGGAATTTATTAAAATCAGCAGCACATAATGCACTTGTCGCAAACCTGTTTTGGGGTGCACGCAACGCAGCATGCAAACGAACTAAGTTACAAGCTTATATGTTAGAGGAAATAATTTTATTATTATTATTACGCGTTTTGTACGAATAAAACTGATTTTCTTCAATCTATCGACAATATCAAAAGGCTAAGTAAAAACGTTTTGTTACTCCCTCCTCAAAAATAGGATCTATCAAAATATAAGCATAACTTTTAATTTCATAGTAATATGTTTATACGTGTATATCTTAATTACCTCTCCAACTCTTTCTCTTCTCCGGCGTATGCTCGGACAGTCCTGATGGCCGCGAGAGCTTCTTCCACGACGCGGCCGGCTGATCCGTACGCTTTCACTTCTTCCGCTGACCATTTCGTTTGATACTAGGGAACGAAGGAAATGATTATCATAAGTCGATTTAAAGACAAGTGTATTTCTCTTTGTATGTTTTTCTCTCCTTTTATATTCAGGAGTGTGTATGTCTATTTCTCTTTCTCTGTGTATGATTGTGTGTTTGTTTGTCTCTATCTCTATGTGTGTATGTCACTAATTCTGTGTGTCTCTATGTCTCTTTTCTTTATGTATGGGTGTCTTTCTTTTGAATGTAAGTGTGCATGTGTCTGTTTCACTATGTCTATGTTACCTACCTTAGCGACGACTCCAGCTACAATGATGGATACAGGAACTACACTAAGGCCAGCTAATGTCAACTGCCAGCCGTACGTGAGAGACAGGGCGGCGCCCAGTACGACGGTGCCGCCCAAGAACGCGGTCATAGCGACGTGCTCGCCTACGCCGGCTTTCAGTTTGTCCATATCCCTGATGTAGGGAAGAACAATAACTTAATATAGGAGATTTTGACTAGTTTGATAAAGCAAAGGGGAAACCCCCTTATTAATAAACGACGAATAAGTTTAAACTAGTTACGCCATGTTTTGTTCACATCACTCAAATGCCATTTGTTATTCAATGAAGAGGGACAAAGCATGGAGTATAACTGATGCAAGCTTATTCTTGGTTTATTAATAAGGCGGTTTTTGAATGAATTCAAATTCCCGATCTATATATTCGTTCAAATAATCCAATAATTCAGGGTCCGTGATTGCAAAATTGACGTTGTATGAATTTTTTACTTATTATGTTTTTTAAACTACTAAAATATTTCAGGAATGATGAGAAAAGTTAATACAGTCATTCAAAAAGTATTTTATTAACTTAAAACAATAATGACTGCAGGATTTTTCTAAAAACAATTACCACAGAATAAATAGCGTTTCTAAATACACCATCAGACCAAATACACACAAGAGCAATGAAAACAGATACCTATTGAGATCAACTGAAATGTCTTATAAAAGGTAATAATATTTGGTAAAGCCATATGCTAGTTGTATCGCATCACTCACTCTGTCAGCGCTGACGCGAAGTTCATGTTGGTGTTGGTGTCGAAGAAAGCCACTTCTTGAGTGATCACCGCCCGCAGCAGACGCCATCTTAACCGGCTCACCTGGACGAAGAAATATAGTTATTACCTTATTACTACTCCATATTTTGTCTCTGTTTATTGAATGAGAAATGTCATTTGAGTTATATGTCAAAACACGGCGTAATAAGGGGGAATTAGTTTTGGTTAGTGGACTCGGCCTATGATCGACACAGCATATGGCGATGTCCGAATCCGGGTACTAAATAGAGAGCTGTAACCATAACCGTTGCATGCACTGTAACCAAAAAGCAAAGTATGTACGTGGTTCTTCAATCAGTGCGTCCTACCTGTGATGACATACGTAGCCGAGACGTGGACACTGACGGTACGGCTGATCCACAAGTTCAAAGTCGCTCAACGCGCTATGGAAAGGGCTATGCTCGGCGTTTCTCTGAAGGATCGTGTCAGAAATGAGGTAATCCGACAGAGAACCAGAGTTATTGACATAGTCCACCGGATTAGTAAGCTGAAGTGACAGTGGGCTGGCCATGTTTGCCGAAGAACCGATAACCGTTGAGGTAGACGAGTTCTGGAGTGGAGACCGCGTCTAGGCAAACGTAGTGTAGGACGTCCTCAGGCACGGTGGATTGACGATTTGCGCAAGGTGGCTGGCAGGAGCTGGATGCGAGTAGCCCAAAATCGATCTGAGTGGCGTGCAATTGGAGAGGCCTATGTCCAGCAGTGGACCAGGATAGGCTGTTGATGATGATGATGTACGTGGTTTGCTAGCCTGTTGCGAGCGGTACGCGTGCGGTTTGCAGCGAGCCGACGTTTACAACTGAGCTACAAGCGTACACACTAGAACCTCGTACTGTATCACGCATGTTACGGTTACAGCTCGCTAATGAGTACCCGGCTCGAGAGTTAGTAGCTGTCTAGTTGAGTATTTTATCACCTAAGAGTTTTTTAGCACGCCTGTCGATAGCTTCCAAGTAGGAAGGACTCCATATAGGTGCGAACTTATGCTGAATTAGGATTCAGAAGTTGTGCTATGTCGTTCCCAAAATTAAGGTTGAATGACAAATCCACAGCAAGGAGGTATCGTACAATTACATTTTAATTTTTTAAGCAATTAACTACTAGATGTTTAAATGTTAAGAAAAAATTTACTAAAACGAATTCCTCGCGGAGCAGTCAGCAGACGGGACTCGAACCTCCGCTATCCGAGCGGATTCACTGACCATTGTGCTACCGCGACTCTAATGGCTATAATAACTTTTCCTTCTTTCAAATGTTTAATACTCGAAATTTGACATTCTGGGTTACCTACAATGCAAAAAGATGGCGCTGCCTTGCTGTCTAAGAAATTGAACATACCATTCTGTTGGCGGCCCAGTTAGCTAACGTGACGGCTATGGCTGCGGTTGTGAGCTGTGCTGCCATGATGGCCACACTGGCTAGTCCGAACGCTATCGAGTCCTCGACGAGTGCGTCCATGTGTCCAGTGCGGTTGCCTTCAGATCTGGGAACGAGATATGAGTCATAGTCATTCTTAAGCAAGATTGAATCATGAGCAAGCGAAGAATTCTTATATTCAAAGGTAGGTGACGCAAAATAGCTTTGCTGCTGAGCTAAACTCATAATCACAGCACTGCAACGAGGAAAATATCACTGTAGTGAGGTGAAACATCTTAAAAATAAAAAAGAGATCTGGAAGAGTATTCAGAAATTGATTGACTCGAGATGATAAATAAAGACAGTAATAATTCTTTCTACGTAAGACGCCAAATTACTGGTTACAGCTGCATTTTCTGTTGTTATCATGCATAATCTATCTTTCTTCCAACTCTCGAAGAAATTATAGAATGCTACGGAATGATAGCTGAAACCTAAAAATATCGGAAATTATGATCGCCAATCTTTGTAGATTTGTGAGCCTACGCCGATGTTGATTATCAAGTAAACGATATAAAATTTAGTGTAAATTGACCAATACTTGGTTGTGATGTGTGTGTTGGTTCTGATTTTTCTCGGGTGTGAGCACTGATTGGATCGATTGTTTGATGTCGCGTCATTTGATTGGCTATTGTATTAATATTGACTCCCAAAACTTATCCTCTGTCTTAATCTGCCTTCATAATTTTATGTCGTGCATTATCGTGGTTGGGTGTTACTCGAACAGCAGTTACCTCTCCCCCCCCCCCCCCCATTTAAGTATCCTCCTTTGATCGTATTTATATTTTATGGGGAAGATATGTTTCCTAATATATTATTGATGCTGTCCTTACAATATCCTTCCCCACCTTAAATCTTAATTAAATTTTATGGAGTACAGATATGTCTCCTAATATTTTTTGTCTGTTCTATCTTTCCTAAAGATGTTATGATTAGTACTCACAATCTCCTCCCACCTCCGAAGAGGGTCAATATGTAGACATGGGGCGTAGTCGCCGTAGCCCTGTGCCTCTGGACGAATAGCGACGTTATTTCCCCATAAACTACGATGGCGCAGAGCAGAGCACACGAACATGCGCAAGCGACGAGAGCGCTCGCCACCGAGCAGGTTCTCTCTAGGGGAGTCGAGTACCGCCACTGGAACAAATAAATAACTATTAGTATTGAAATTGACTTGATGAGAAACTTGGAGAGATTGAAAGTGATGTTTTTTTAAAAAAAATGATGTGGTGTCGTGGGGCACCAGCTAGGAACGAAGTTCCTTCGGCTAATGTAGAATAGACACAAATTGCAAAAAAATCGTGCTCAATTTTATGTAGGTTTTCTTGATTTTTCTCTTAAATTTTGCTAAAATAAAATTACATAGAAATAGAAAAATTCGCACCTGCGCACGTCTCATTTAACGGTTTAATTCCACGCACTTTTTACCACGCATTTTTTCTAACGGTTTTACTATCACATTTTTTTCAGTTCGGTCGCGCAACAAAATCCCTATCCCCTCTCATTTAACGGAATTATTCCACGCACTTTTTTCCACGGATTTTTTCTTACGGTTTTACTATCACATTTTTTTCAGTTCGGTCGCGCAGCAAAATCCCTATCCGCTCCAAGCCTGCCGTAAGGAACTTCGTTCCAATAATAATAATAATATATTTTATTTATTTCTCCTCACAACATGATGCTATTGTAATAGGTGAATACAAAAATGATAAATCTGTAGGCTGTGAGAAGCTGGTGTCTGACATGGGTATAGAAATACCTGTATTACAGATCACCAGGCCCTCGGCCAACGAGAATGAGATAATTACAATACGAGTTAACCAAAACAATTCTACAATATAGGAGAACTTATATAAAAAGACAAATTAAATATTAGCCTAGTTGTTCGTTTACAGAGATTAACATATCAAAGATGATTGAATGCCACACAAAGCTGGAAGTTAAATGGACAGTTTCTATTGTGTTGTTTGTTGATATATTTACTTAATTACTTTAAATTACCTAATAATTAACATTACTTTGCTTTACATCAAAAAAAATATTAAAGATACTCATTTGCTACAATTTCATTGTATAATCTAAGAGAAAGTTAACTGCTCAAAAGATTCTCTGTTGTTAGATAATCCAGATTTTGTAGCCAATTTTTTACCATTCGCTTTAATTTGAATTTTGTGACATTATAAATAGATAAAATGTTGTTAATTTTATTGTACAAACTACCGCATGGAAAACAGAAAAATCGTTGTGAGAATTTCATATTAAATCGACGTTGTGCATAGATTCTGTTTCTTCTACGTACAAGATCACTTTTACTGGGTACGTAAAAATAAATTTTTAAACGGATAGGGTGTAAACAGTGGCGGGACAACACCTAAATTTGATGTGGGCAAGACAGATTTCGCGAGGCCCTGTTCTGTGGCGACCTGAAGACGGATTTTATAAAAAAATAAATAAACACTTTTAAGCAATGTATAAAAATTTTTGAGGCGCGAGGCCCCTTGTACCGCGAGGCCGTAGGCGGTGGCCCACGTCGCCCACGCCTTACGCCGCTTGTGGGTGTAAATGGCAAAATCCTATCCTATGGAAAATATGAAACTCTTCCAGACGAGCATGAAAGTTGGAGGGTAGCTCGGCAAAGGCTGAAACGCTACGAGCGTCACGAGCATCACACGCGACAATATCGATACTTATAATAAATCTGTAGAGAGGTCAATTCTGTACATGAAATATATTTTCAAAATAACTATCAGGGGGTGATTAGTGATCGATACTGATGCCAAAAATGCAACCAGTAAAATTTTTGTCTGTCTGTCTGTCTGTCTGTCTGTCTGTGTGTATGTTCCTTATAGAAACAAAAACTACTCGACGGATTTTAACCAAACTTGGTACAATTATTCTTCACACTCCTGGGCAGGTTATAGTATACTTTTCATTACGCTACAACCAATAGCAGCAGAGTAGTGAAGGGAAATGTTGGGAAAACGGGAGAAGTTACTCCATTTTTAAGCTTCCGTCGCGTGTGCAGCCTTAATGGTTAAAGTTACATAGAAATCATGTATGGCGAAAATATTCTACATAAAATTGTCTAAAAAATATCCCGCAACAGCATATGTCCATCTTTTATGGTTGACTCACAATAACACGTGTAATTATATAAATAAAGTCATTGTTTATAGCACAAGCCTGAGAACAAAAACTATAGTTTACACTACAGCTCTACACCGAAGCGAAGCGAGGGCGGGCCACTAGTATATAAATATATATATAAGACAGTATCTTATTATGAGAATTGTAAAAGTGATTAAACAGATGTGTTACTCTGAAAACAAAGATTTTATTTTTGCATGTAAGTTAAAGCACTTATTATTCACTACACTTTTTAGTATCAACTGTAAATCATACTATCTTACATGAAAACAAAGAAACGACATTGAAAGTCTTTTACTTATAACAACAATTTCTTCCTTTACAATAATATTTTAAAATAACCAAATAAGCATATCACTGCTCGTTCTGCCTAACCTAACCATCTATAAAGTGACAGTTTTGTTATTATGGTCGCCCGGGAGCTATACAAACTACTTAAGAAATATGGAAAGAGTTACAAGAAAAGACAGTAGGATGCAAAGGCGTACTTTTTTCCGATCCCCCCCCCCCCAGAATTGGTAAATCAAATCAAGATAAAGACCAGCAACAAATGTGTTTCTGTGGCTTCTGCCGCCCCTTAACGCTCGTTTTTTTATACAATAACATGTTTATTGCATTATAATTAAGGTTACCTACATTCTTAATGGTGGAAAACGCAATTCAACATGCTATATAAAAAACAAAATCGTTTTCTAAGAAAAACAGTAGATTCATGTAGAAAATTAGAAGAACAGAAGAAATTTCAGAAGAACAGGAGATCTTCTGTAAACCCTGTGTCGTAGACCCCTTGCCATGTTTTTCCGTGTTGGGTATAGTGTGGAGTAGGACTTACAAGAGGCGGTACATTTGTCCCGGACATGACGTCAAAATGTAAGAGCGGCTCAAAATTTTAAAATGTACTACTTCACATTAAATGTCGCGATAGTCGCGTCTCGTTACTCACTCACTCTTCGTAAGTCTGAGAGAGAGTGCGAGGCATGACATTTCATTTAAGTCCTCTACGCACTATCCATCTGTATCTCTATCTCTTTTACGTATATAGCGCTGTCCTGCATGCTGGATCCAGCAATATTGATAGTGCGTAGAGGAGGTGCTACTCGTGCACACAAACGTAATGTCGAGCTTCTGTACGCCTCAATGTCATATTTGTACTCGTCACTTCAAATGTATTGCCGAGCTTCAGTACGCCTCGCCTCATTTGAAGTGGGACATTGTACTGGCTCAGTACAAAAAAGAGGCTACTCTTACAAACTCTTTTTCAAGTCGTGTCCTCCCCAACACTAGTTGGGTAGACCCCCTACTTACCTGATATTGATTTTTTTTCACTGACGTAGACCCCTAGGGGTCGATATAGACCACTTTGGGAATCACTGCTATAGACGATTGCGATACCAACAATATAACTCGCGCCGGCGCTCACCCTGACCCCATCCCCCGTGGAGCTCTGGAACCTGAATCACTGACAGAAACACAACACCAACAAAAGCTAGTGTTATTTTACTGTGGTTTTCTGTAAGGTGGACGGGCGCTCCAATTCATGAGGAAAATACGCTATGCCTTACCTCTATTAAACTTTTAATTTAAATCTCTTATCTATTAGACAAGTCCGTCCGTCCGTCCGTGGTGCTGTTTCAGCGGCCAAACCGTAAGAGATAGATATAGAGAATGTTTAAGTTATAAGTTAAGAATAGTCTGATAAGACTACAAACCGAATGTGAGTAACGTAGCACTTCCGGTTTTCGAGAAATCACGTGATTTCTATTTCAAACGAAACCACATAAAATCTCCGAAGTTCTCAATTAATTAAATACATTTTTTTTTGGTGAACGTTTGGTTCACTGGTTTGCTAGTAATTAATAATTTGACGACCTCCGTGGCCGAGTGGTTTGTACGCCGGGTTTCATGGTGTCGCTGACTTGAGAGAGCCCGGGTTCAAATCCCGGTGGGGGCAGATATTTGTGGGATGAACACGAGCATTTGTACTCCAGTTATGGATGTTTAACATGTATTTCTATATAAATATACTTATATATGTACTGTATATGTATTTTATCCGTTACCCTAACATCCCAAAACACAAGCCTTACAGTGCTTACTTTGGGCTAGGCTAATTGGTGTGAGTGTTAGAAAATATTTATTTATTTCTTATTTATTAATAATATAAAAAGAAAAAAATTACAATTAAATTTTTAATTAAAATCAGAATAGTTTGAATATTGATGATAACAAGACAATGAACGCAACTTCCTCGTTCTATTAAATCACCGTGGCTCCTTGACGCTTTTTCCAAGAAGATTCATGAATGAAATATTAGTTTCAATCATTAATGAAGGTAGCTCGTAATTATATAGAACAGGAAACTTTTGTTTTATAGTTAAGGCAGTAATTTTATGTATTGTTACATTTTTATAGAATGTAAAGAAACTCTTAGTTCCTTTTCCATTTAATTAATTATTAATACCTTTTGTATTTATACTGTATGACACAGCAATCAATACGTGAGTGGACATTGTATTGATAGCGACATTATTTTTACCCGGCTGCGCAATGCAAGAGCGCGAAGCGCGACGCGCAGATAGGGTTATGTGTTTAACAGTCTATATATGTATGTTTGTTCCTTTGTGGCACACTAGAGACCAAACGCTTGGACCGATTTTGATGATTCATACATCAATCGATCCGTCTCAATCATGGGAGTGCTACTAAAGATATGATAGTAATCAAAATTCAATATGGGCAAAATTAGGCGCCATATTGTGACGAACTAAAAAAAATAAGTTGAATAAATATGTCGAGTGGGGTATTAGGTTCCTAACACCATTATTCAAGAATACATAATATTTTTCAACAGTGGGTCCCGACTGTTAAAGTAGCTGTGTTCCTTATTAACAGAATTATAGACTACTGGACTCGTTTTTTTTCTTTTCAGTTTTTATTTGAAGTATAACTAAGCAGTCGGGTTTTTTGATTTTTTAAATTTACCTTTTTTT